GTAACTGAGGGTGGTTGGCACCAATCAGCATCAACCCCTTTATGTTGTATCTTTTTTCTAAAGCTCTTGCTTTTCTCCTTGGGCTCGTCTACACTGGCCCCTTTTCCGGAAGGGGGATGTTAATTTCACCTATCGTAGTAGGGAAATCCGCGGGGGATTTAAATATCCCCCGCGGCATTTAAATAAAAATGTCCGCCGCTTTTTTCCGGCTTTTAAAAAAGCCGGAAAAGAGCGTCTACACTGGCCCCGATCCTCCGGAAAAAGCGCCCTTTTCCGGAGGCTCTTATTCCTTCCTTTAAAGTAGGAATAAGAGCCTCCGGAAAAGGGCGCTTTTTCCGGAGGATCGGGGCCAGTGTAGACGCTCTTTTCCGGCTTTTTTAAAAGCCGGAAAAAAGCGGCGGACATTTTTATTTAAATGCCGCGGGGGATATTTAAATCCCCCGCGGATTTCCCTACTACGATAGGTGAAATTAACATGCCCCTTCCGGAAAAGGGGCCAGTGTAGACGTAGCCCTTGTGTTTTCTCTAGCCATTGGCTGCCTGACTTGTTTTCTTTCTCCTCTTGTGAGTCCTCCTTTGTAATTCTGCTAAATTTACCCTGTTCATCTAGGAGGCACATTAAGAAAGATGGTTGATGCATCTTTCAGGTCTGGAACATTTTGGACTGGAAAAATCGAAAGTTCCTATTCTGTCAGATGGCAGCTTTAGCTGAGTTGGTGATTTGAGTCTAAGAATGTTGTATTGCTGGATGCTGGTGGTAAGTAAAACACTCTCATTGTGCTAACTCAGGTTATTTGTGTTAGTACTTTACTGTTTTTTATTACCCAATTAAAGTCACTGTAGTTAATTTAAAAGAAACTCAAACGTTTTAAAGTACAAGTTACATCACTTCCCCATAATGAGCAGAATGTATCATGTTGATATTTTCTGTCCCCTCAGGACAACACTATAAACTTTTGGCTGTCCAGAATGAAGCAGCAGCACATCTATAGTTCTTTTCTGACCTCAAGTATTGACAGTACAGATTTTTTCTTTCATAATAGTAATTTTATAGTTTTTTTTATAGATTTTCTAATGTTCCCTCCTGTCTATCAAGGCTATTGTAATGCCTCAATTATAGAACAAAGTTCCTTCAAACCTCACCCAAGGTAAATACTTTTAATAGAGCTCCCTTGCTCTGTGTATATAAAGATCTGAAAATGTTACCATAGCAGACTTGCAGCTTCTAGCACAAGCTATATTAAAAAGTAATCAACAAGCAAAGACAGTAAAAAAGCAGCTGCACAGCACAGTAATATCCACATATTGACAGAGTAAGCAATATTTTTCTTTTGGAAAATCTTTCATGCAATCATGAGCTTCTGGACTGTGTTGAATTGGAGACAAGAAGCAATAGCTGCAAAAAAACCCAAACAAACCGGAAAGAAGAGAATTTTTAAACACATACAATCACTATCACATGACAGTGTATTTTCTTATCAGAGTTTATTGTTGCACATCAGATATCATGCGACTATCAGAATAATATTCAGTTTTATTAATTTTAAAAAACTTTGAGAAAAATGTTTCCAGAATTTTTCATTCAATGTGAATGACAAAAATATTACACCTATAAACACGGAAATATCTATTTAATTTCTTCCTGAGGAAGTTTCACATTTTTAAGCAAAGGAACAGGATATTCTGTACAAGCTAGTCTGCAAATCAGTTAAACTCATTATTTTCTCAAATGTGGAGCTGGGAAAATACTGCTGCACTTCCATGAATGTTTACTGAAACAGTTATATGAATTTACAACATCAATATTTATGGCCCTTTATGTTCACTTTCTGAAAATAATAATGCATTCAATTTTACTGCCACAGATGTTTGTGGAAAGCAAATTTTAATATCAAATGCATGAGTATTTGCAGAAAACATGTTAAAGTCTACCAATTTGTGTAGGAACTCCTTGCACTCATCTAACCAGGGAACAGAGAATATACTATATGCCTTATTTGATCAATTACAATTAATCAACTCAGCCTGACTATCCAATATTTGCAATACATGTTTCATAATCGTTTTTTAAAAAGATACATTTAAATTGGTAGGATATTTATGGAAATGCATTTGAAGATACTGCAGTCTGCTTGAAGATAAGTGATGAGCTTCACAGATGCTAACCTTAGTCAAATAAATAATTGTTTTATGAATTACTTGCTCAGTTTTACTCGTGTGTATCTCATTATTTGCAGATTGCAGCTATTGTATGTAAAGTCTGCATGCTTTGCTGAGACTCCTTGTTTGTAAGTAACCTGACTGATTCCAAATACATGTTATATTTACTTTTTACAGGCTTTTGCTGAATATGGTAAAAACATAATAGAACATTCTAAGGACAAAAGATGGGTAGGCGCGCTTATTCCCTTTTAGGGCTCATACAACAAATTTCAGCCCCAAATATATCTGCAAATCAGAACAGTAAATATCTTTGAAAACTCAAAGAACATTATCAATTTGTCTTTACTATCCATTGATTTTAAGAGTCACAATAATATTTCTGATGCACCAGAAATTAATGTTGTTTGGATTTACTGGAGATACTCATGCTAAATAGCTTGATTCTGCACTATTTTCTGAGGCATTGCCAAAATAAGAGTTTTAAACTAAAAGGATTTCAAGAACAGGTCCTGTGCAATGTACAATTCTGGTGACAAAAGGTCAAATACTTTTGTTTTTAGTATTTACTCAGGCAAAACTCCCACTGAAGTCAATGTGCCAGAGAGTCACCACACTCCCTGATAACCTGGATGAAATGGAGCTTTATTACCAGCTACTTGCCTGGCCATGGCAGCCAAAGGGTCCCCACTTGGGTCTGGTCTACAGTACCAGGGAAGGTCCAAGTAAGAAACACAATTCCATCATAAATTATTTAGCTGGAGTTGACCTATCTTTCATCACGTTTCCATACCACCCACACAGCGGGAAGCTGATGGGAGCAAATGCTCCAGTCAGCTTCCCTTAGACTTCGTGAGGAGCAGGAGTAGCAGCACTGATGGGGGAACCCTTTGAATTAAATCTAGCAGGTCTATACCAGATCTGCTAAATTGAACCCCGTAAGTTCAATCATGGCTTTCCCATGACCTTCCACGAGGTGCTGCAGAACAGGGTCTTCTGCTAGAATATACTACTTCATCTATGTCAGCTTTTTGAGACTAGGGGGAAGATGATCTACATATTCCAGTGCACATCCAAGCCCCATCCAACCTGGGGCTACTCATATTCCTTACCCCATGCCCCCTCCCCTCCCTCCTTAGACCATGTAGAGAGCCTTTTGAGATGTCCTAGATAGAAAAGGCTGTGCTACAAATGTATCTGAGCCCCATCCCTAGAGCCCAGAGGGTTGAGACCTGCACAAAAATATTCTCCTCCATGTGCAGCAATCTTTGTGGCATGATCTGGCTACAAAATGCTTATATAATGCTGCTTTATACAGAGTACAGTAACTGTAGCACCAGAGCACAAAACAAAAGCTCTGTGCGTTTCATACAAACGGTGGTATTTTCTTTTTAATGTTTTGGTTCATCAGTTGTGTGCTAACGATGAAAGGACCTTATTGAAATCAGTGGGGCTACTAGAACATCACCTGAGGTATTTCTCCCCATAAGTCACATTAACATCTTAATTGTTACAAATCCATACAGACATTTGCATGTCACATCCATTCTTTACACATGTGGAGAACTTTTTTTTTGCAGTTATTCAGAGTCCAGAGGTTATCTTTTACTATTTAAAAAAACCCCTTAAGACAAGTTACATTCTGGACCTAATTCACAGGACAGTAAGTGAAATAAGATTGTTTTCATTCTGTCTACAAATAATTATGATGTTCATCTTACAGAATGTCTATTCTACTAGATCCTTATTGGTAATCATGCATACTCCTTTATGCAATAATGTGCTGAGTAATGTCTATCTTTATACACTGCAAATTTTTCTCTTCTGGCCTATCAAAACCAGGCATTACAAAGTCTAAGTACAAAAATTACAAGTTAGAATTACAATAAGGATCTCAATATCTGTTTTCTATTTAGTGAACAATAAATTGGTTTCTATCCCATTACCATAAAAATTAAATTGTGTAGCTTATGACAAAGAGTGCCTAGAAAAGCTTTCCACTGTTTATTTTTAACTGCTCCTTTAAAGCAAATATTGGGAATGTAGTTATAGAACCAAGCACCAAATTTGGAGCAGTAGTATATATATAGGGAGCAGAAGTAACCTACTATGCCCATTTCTTGACTTTGGGCGTTTACTCATTGGCCATCTTGCAATTTTAAAACACATTAAGCAATATTTCAGTTGAGTAACATGAGAGCTAAATTCGACTAATTTTTAATTACCACTTTCCTAAATTTTTGAAGCATTATAATTAGGCCTTGGGCTCACACGGCTAAGTAGATGAGAAGTTTAATGGAGAGTAGTCACACTGTGTAAATATAAACATATACTTAATTGTTTGCAGTAGGGGTGTTAGATAGCGGGTAATAGAATAGTCAACTAACTGCTTGAATTCTTAGTGGTTAGTCAACTATTCTATAGATCCTAGGGGTGGGGCTGGCAGCCAGTGCGCTCCGGCCCCACTCCTGGGGAACATCCTGCCATCCTGCACTTCTGCCTCTATCAGAGGCAGCAGTGCAGGGTACCAGGTGGGAGCCAATCTGCAAGGGAAGCCAGTTTAAAAACCAGATCCTCTCACAGACCAGCTGCCAGCTGCCTCACACTGCTGCCTCTGATACCGAGCAGCCTCTTTGCAGGGAGCTTGGACCCCGTGTGAACAGGGGCTGCTGCTGTGAAGCAGCCTCTGCCCGTGGTGAGCCAGGGCCTGCCTTGGGCAGATTCACAGCAGCCTCCTCTGCTTCCCCTCATGCTGCTGCCCCTGATTGAGGCAGCAGTGTGGGGGTGGAGAGGAAGGCAGCACCCCAGAGCCGGTGCTGGGAGGGAACTGGCTTTTAAGCCAGCTCCTCCCAGCACCATCTCCTGCTTCCCCCCCTTGCTGCCTGAGATACAGAGGCAGCAAGGGGAAGGAATGTGAGTAGCTGACAAGATTAATTGATTAGCCTAGGCTTATCATTTACTTATTGACATCTGTAGTTTGCAGTACTGCAGTCTAATTTTGTATCATGAGTCTCCACTGTATTTTTATTAACTTACTCATTTAATTACAAAACCTTTTAAAAATTATCTCCTTTGGGAAAGCAAGTACATTTTCTGCAACTTGCATGTAATAAACTGGAAGGCATTAAGAGATGCCACTACTTACTGTTCAGTTGGTAGAGGAGGAGTTTTGGGAGACAAATCAAATACAACACAAAAAAACCCAGGTCAGTGTAATATAGGTCTGTTTATGTTTACACCAGTTTTTCACTGATGTAAGTCTACTAATTTCACTGGAGTTATTCCTGATTTACAGTGGTGTCACATCAGAATCTAGGTGCAATAACTTGTAACAACAGATAGATGTGAAAGATCTACTCAGGTCATTTGTTCATTGCATTGCTATGGTTTGGTTCACAGTCATGTAATTTAATACTCAGGCTTTGCCTACACATTAAAAAGTTTAAAGTGTAGCCCCGGCAGCACTTTAAACTGAAAGCATGGCCACAGTATGAGTGCTGGAAGAGAGATCTTGCAGCACTCTGTGTAAACCATCTCCATGAGCGGAGTAACTTACTGCATGCTCTCAGCACTGTACCCTGGCTCACACTGGTGCTTTACAGCATTGTAAATTGCTGCGCTCAGGGGGATGTTTTTTCACATCTCATGAGCCAGAATGTCACAGTGCTATAAAGTGCCAGTGTAGTCGTAGCCTCAGATTATTACAATACGAATTTCTTTTTTAACTTTGTGCATTTTATATCTAGTCCGATTTCTTCTTAATCATATAATAATCTTTTTTTCAGATAGTTTATATTCCTTTTTGTTGCTGTTTCAGTTGATTGTGAATGGAGGTGCCGTATTTAAAAGCATAGGTTCTGAACATGAAAGGGATCCACAGCATCTTATGGTTTCATCCTCACAGATCAGGGCCATATTTCTTACTTATTGATACAGTGTTTTAGCTTCTGGATTCAGGATCTGGCTCACACTACATACTCTGTCCTGTTTACACTTAAGGAACATGTGTTTTTACTCTTCAACACTGTTCATTTATTTTTAAGTTAAAAAATTTGGTAAGCAGATTCCAAAGGCAGGAGTACATTTGTCCATTGTATGTTTTCTTAGTTTTGTTTTGTATAAAGACACATGATAATAATAAAAAAGTATGAAAACCCTTGAGCAGGCAAACAATGGGCTACAAAACTTACATGAGACACAACACTCCTAAGTTCAAATATAAAAGTGTAAATATTTACTATTAAATTGGACAGTTGTGTAGCTTTGCTTTTAAAGCTTATACCAGTTGCTATTGATCTCCATATGTGCGCACAGTAGTTTACAACAATTCCACAGGCCCAGAAATGGCGAAGAGAAATCTTGCAGGCCTCCAGCGTTTTAAGTGACAATCATTTTCACAATCCACATGCCAGCATATGGAAGAAACTTCATTTTTGTAGTCTCTTTTGAAGAGGTATATTTTACACCTGCCTTCTGGTAGATATTGAAGGCTTTAGGTAAGATGACTAAAGTTGGAAGAGAAGATTTCAAGAAGCTTTCTTTCAATGCTATCTCACTTTCTGTAGTTCCTGTCTCAGCCATGATGGCAGGGGTTGTCCCAATTTGTGCAGGAGTTTTGACAGGTCCACATTGTGATCTCTGTAGTAGCTTGACAGAAAAGCCCTGCACTGATAGATAAAGAAGTAGACATTTTTATTTAATAAATGATTGTACTGTAGATGCTTTGGCTTTTGTAGTGTGTTTCACCTGTATCATAGAATCACAGGGTTAGAAGAGACCACAGGAAATCATCGAGTGCAACCCCTCTCTCCCGCCCTCCCCCCCGCTTCCCAAACCAGGACCAACCCCAAAGCCAGGACTTTGTCAAGCCGGGACTTATCTGATCTATGCCATGCTTTCTTCTATGCTGTACACTTTCTCCTCTGTTACATATTATTTTATACAGCATCTATACCGGGGCAGGCAAAACACAGACTGCATTAGTCCTGCCAAAACGCCAGATCTGGCCCACCATTATCCAGCAGGAGTCTTGGGCAGGATCCCTGCCTGCTGTGCCCTCGCACTGCTCAAAGCAGCTGGCTGAGGGAACCATGTGCTTCTCTGTGCGCCACACACTGGAGGGGGAGGGGTTCAGAGAAGAGGCAGCTTCACACTGCTTTCACCCTCTAGTACAATCTCACAGCTGCCATTGGCTGGACACGATGCATGTGGAGTAGGGAGCGTGCAGAGGGCCCTCCCAAGGGCGCACAGACACACACACGGCCTCTCAATGCACAGCTGAGAAGCCGAAATTTTAACTGTGTTGCAGCTTTTTGAGAGCTAGGTTTTTCAATATGAAGAAAATGTTTAAAAACAATTTCAGGGTAAGTTAATTTGGGAATATATTGACCTTTATAGAATCATAGAATCATAGAATAATAGGACTGGAAGGGACCTCGAGAGGTCATCGAGTCTAGCCCCCCGCCCTCAAAGCAGGATCAAGCTCCGTCTACACCATCCCTGACAGATGTCTATCTAACCTGTTCTTAAATATCTCCAGAGAGGGAGATTCCACCACCTCCCTTGGCAATTTATTCCAATATTTGACCACCCTGACAGTTAGGAATTTTTTCCTAATGTATGATCACTCTTTATACAAAAGGTTGAAAAATGATAATATGGTTCATGGGATCAGAAAGGCTTTGGCTGTAGAAAATTAATACAATAAACTATAGGTTCTTAATTTTATCTTCTTGTTCTTGTTATAATTTTTTCAATTGAGAGTCCCAAGTGTGTGAATGGGGCACTCCTGCAATCCATTCCGATGCTCTAGTGCCTCAAGAACCATGGTTTACCTCTAAATCCATAGGAGGGTATTTTCTGCCTTTGCTCTTTCCAAGACACTTCGTTTTTCCTTCTTCCAGGAGTTGGCACCAGAAACCTTTATGTGAATCGAACCTGAAATGAATATTTTGTACACTTTCAATTCAGCAAACAGGTCAAATATATTCCCACGGTCTTTAAGATTTTTTTAATCACTTCAGCAACTTAATATTTTGGGTCCATTTCCCCCTTATTATTCAGGCAGGGCACCTATTAGCACTAATGGGAATCTTGCTTTTATGTAGAGGAAAGAATCAAGAACAACAGGTTAGCTATCTAGGTATCCCTATAATTTCTAGAGCACACAGCTGAGCAGAGATCCCTTTGAATGTAGGTGCAAACAGACCCTATTCAATTGTATTAATAGTTAATGTTTATATTGCAGAAGTACTCAAAGACACTCGTTGGGATTGGTGCCACATTTCATTGGGGGCTCTATAAACCACAGAAGAAGGCATAATCCTTGTCTTGAGCAGCTCACAATATTAATAGACGGACATAAGGTGAGAAAAAGGGATATAACATATAAGACAATGGTCAGCTTCTGCAACCATTACTCATCTTGAGTAGTACCTTAGGGTATGTCTACACTACAGCGTTATTTCGACATATCTTATTTCGAAATAACATGTCTACACACAAAATGCATTTCAAAATTGCTTTTTCCTATTTTGAAATAGCGTGTCCACACTGAGTGGATGCTGAATCGCATTTCAGGCCGGCCGGAACCAGGTCCAGCAGGGTATCAGATCTGGAGTTACTTTGTGTGGCTGCTGCCTGAGGCTATCTGAGGCCTGTGCTTAAATGAACTGCCCCCCCCACCCTCCAGACAGCCGTTTCTCAGCTTTCTCTGCTTGCTTGTCTACCTCGATGAGGGACAGCAAAGCATTTTGTCTCTGTGTGCTCTGATTGCCCTCACTCGGGATACCACAGCACTCTGCAACAGGGAGCCAGAGCTGCCCCTAGGCACTCTGGTGCTTTCCATGGACATGTTGCTGCGAGCCTGGCTGCACTTTCTGCAGGCTGTCATCTGGGAGGTTCATCGGGAGGCTGTCAGCATCCATGAGGCCCTGTGGGAGAGCTTCCTCCCTGAAGAGCACTAAGAGCCTCCCTGGTCTGCCCCACTGGGGACTTGTGCCTCATTCCTCCCTCACGTCCTTCCACTTATCCCTCCCTAACCCACCTTCCTGATGTAAAATAAAATACATGTATTTTCATGAACACAAACACTCTTTATTTAACAAAACTGGGGGGCAGGGAATGAAACTCTTGTGAGACTGGGGAAAGGAGGTGGGAGAAGGGAGGAGAGACGGTGGGACAGGGGAGAGGGAAACCTGGGAGAAGGGAGCTGGAAAGCGGAAGCAAGGGGAAGAAGGGGCAGGGGAAGCTCAGGGCTATGGGGGGGAGGTCTCGCCAGACCAACTTGATTGTCATGCAAACCTGCTCCTGGGTTCACATGTGGCCTTTGCGGGCCAGGCTGGCAGCTCTCCTGCCATAGATGGCCGCGTTCCTCCGTCTAGTGCAGAGATCATGGACGTTGGGGACATCCCCCCAAACCTGAATAAGGTCCATGATCTCCGCCCTGACCAGGAAGGCGCTCGCCTTCTCTGGCCCTTGGCAGGCTCCTGGGAGCTGGCAGACTGCTCCTGGGGAGTGGTGGAGGGCTGGCTGCCAGTGGCTTGCTGGCTCATGTTTTGGGGCTGCTGGGTCAGGGCCAGTGTTTGCTGGCTCTGGGCTGGCAGGCTTGGAGCTGGCACAGGCACTGTGGCCAGAGTCTACCCCTTTAAGGGCTCCGGAGGGGGGGGGGGAAGGAGAGGAGTGTTCTTGGTTGAGGCCAAAGTGGCCTCCAGGACACCCTGGGAAGGGCTGGAGGCTCCGTATTTCGAAAAAAGTGTGTGCACAGCACCAAATTTGAAATGAGCGCTCCACTATTTTGATTTAATTTCGAAATAGCAGTTTGGCTGTGTAGATGCTAGTAAAGTTATTTCAAAATAATGGGTATTGTTATTTTGAAATAACTTTGCTGTGTAGACATACCCCTATGTATCCATTAGTTCCATGGAAATCTGAGTGACTACTTACAGAGTAAGGTACACTCCACTGTGAGTAAGGGTGGCAAAGTCAGGCTCTAATCCGCGCTTCATTTGCAATTTTGTTCGTCTGCATTTGCATTCCTCTCTCGAAAGACATACCCTGTCTGTGTGGCATTAGGCAACTGGCATTAGGCAACTGTTTATTTTTATTAAGATTTTTATACGATGTCCACCACTATACTAAGAGAGCCTACAATAACTAGTCTATCATTAACTTTAGTGCATCCATCTGACCCCCTGGGCTCATCTAGACTACAGGGAATGGTTGAAAGAAGATATGCAAATTCAGTGGGAATGTGCAGATCTTCTTCTGATCGCACTTTCGAAAGCAGAGTTTTTGAAAGTGAAAGTAATTAAGACAAATCCCTCCCTTTGTTGAAAAGCCACGTAAACCTCCTTTTTTGACGAAGAGCAGCTTTTTGATGAAAAGGGTGGTTCGCCAAAAAAGCCGCGGAATTTGCCTATCTTCTTTTGACTGTTCCCTGTAATCTAGATGAGCCCTCTGTTAACTGGGCACGATAATATTTACTAACCTCAAAGGGCTTTGTGAAGATTAATGAGAGGATGTAAAATGCTTTGAGTTCATTAGATAAAGAACATATATGTTTATTTCATATTATATTATTGCAATTTTGTAGATACAGGTAGAGGTGGGAATTTTCTATCATATAGATCAATTATGAAATGACACAGAGGGCTAAATTAATTACGGATATAACTAAACTGATTTAAATGGAGCTATAACAGGATGAATTGGGGCAAAGTAATGGAACAAGTTGCTTGAATGTCAGTTATGCTAAATGAACATTATTTAGCTGTGTCTACACTGATGCGATCTTGTGCAAAAGTGGCCGCTCTTGCGCAAAAACTTGCTGCCTGTCTACACTGGCCGTGTGTTCTTGTGCAAGTAAACTGATGTTCTGATGTATGAAATCAGGGCTTCTTTCACAAGAACTCTGACACTCCTGCTCAGGAATAAGCCCTCTTGAACAAGAGCTCTTCCAGAAGAGGCCAGTTTAGACAGGCAACATGAATTTCTTGCGCAAGAAAGCCCTATGGTTAAAATGGCCATCAGAGCTTTCTTGCGCAAGAGAGTGTTCTACACTGGCATGGATGCTCTTGCGCAAAAGCACGTCTCTTGCGCAAAAGCACATGCCAGTGTAGACGCTCTCTTGTGGAAGAGGTTTTGCAAAAGAACGCACCAGTGTAGACGTAGCCTTTGTGTTTAAGGATAGAGAAGAAGGAAAAGCCTGCTGCAGAATAATAATTCACAGCATGCACGTCAAGGCCTTGGGTGTATACAAGACATAGCTTTCAATAGAGTTACTTCCTGGAATGAACTGGGTCTATTATGTCTTTACAATATCCTTGACTTTATCTCATGAAAGATAAAATCTGTTTTGCTACATATGCCACAGAAATGAACAGAGTACAACTGTCTGAAGGCATTAAATACAGAAATCCCTGGCAGAGAAAATAATTCTTCTCTGAGCGCCTCTTATAAAAACAGAAAATAGGCTCACAGTCAAAAGGTTATCAATCTTATTTTAAGGGCAAGTGAATCTAAATGTCTGAATCCAAAGAATTTGTGTACGTGTGTTTATTACACAGAGAGTGGATTTTACATTCCTCACATTGATACTGTTGAGTCTCCTACAATGATGTTGAACATAAAAGAAAACCTGCCTTCTATCCATTCTGTTTACGCATGCTGAATCTCTTTCTGTTATGGAAAGCCATCTCTCTCTTTTACCCTTCTAAAATCCAACCACAAATCAATAATTGTTTTACATGTCAGGTGTCCACTCTCTGTAATATTCAAACACCATGTTTAATACCTGGTTTAATGCATAATTCACAGAAAATGTAATTCCACTGAGTTAAAGATTATTTGAAGGGCAGTGTGAAATCATGCAAGAAAGAAAAATGTGCAGGCTGCCTCTGGCTTGCGATGCGATTGGTTATTGGGATAGCATCGCAAGTCGGGGGCGTTGTAACTCAAGCCAGCATTTATGACAGGCGTTGTGTGATGTTGTAAATGCGGGGCTGAGGACATAAATCGGGGGATTTCAGCCCCTTCCGCACTTACGGAAAAGGTTGTAAGTGTGGGGGGTCATAAATCAGGCTGTCGTAAAGCGGGGGCCTCTGGTACTTTCTATGTCTAATCAGCACATAAGCAAGTCCGGATTTTTCCATGGAAATTAGAGAGGTTGAAGACTCTGAAAAATACATGTTATTTCCCACACTAGTAGTATGACTTGCATGCAAAAGTTGCTGTTATTTTGTGTTGACTTCACTTACAGAACCAATACTATTTTGTTATAGCCAACAAATCTCATAAAAATCTGACCTTGCAAGGTGCCAAGGGGCTGAGCACGTATACACACAAATACCCAGTACATTTAGATGTAAAAAAGTTCAATGAATAACAGCAAATTATAATTTACAGAGACTATTGAAACCCATTCTTTTCAGACTCTTTGTATACAGTTCTACACTTACTTCTCTTTAAATCAGTCCATTGCTAATATTCCATTAAATTAATTGTGAATCAACTCACGTTAGAGCTTCAGAGTAATTATAATGGGGAGAAACTCCCAGAAATTTCTGCACTTCATCCATCACAGTAGCTGGGTCAGTTCTCAATTGCTGTCCATCAATAATTAACAACTGCAAAAAAATATATATATATACATTGCATTGAAAATTCATTTGTATTTCAAGCTTCAGAATAAAACTTTCACCTATGTCAAGCTTGTTCATTAAAAGAAAGTGAGATGCCCTATGGAATGGTAACAGGTTCAGTCTTATTTATCATCATCATTAATGAGCTGGGAGAAGGGTAAATGGCACATTAATTAATTCTGAAATGAAATTATGTGGGAAGCTGTTGTGAGCACCACTGAGGACAGAAAAATGATGCTGAAGGACCTAGTGAGATTAGAAATATTGGCAGGATATTAAATGAGATTCATCCTGGAAAATGCAAGTTAATATATCTGGAAAAAAATTAGATGCCAACCCCCCGCCTATACAATGTGAAAAAGATATTCTGAGATATGTTTGCTCTTTTTTTCAGAGAATCAATCAATTCATTGACAGTTATCATCACTACTAAAGAAGGCATTTAGCTCCCTGATCCTTTGTCACACACTAGTTGTTCCTTGTGCCCAAGAGCCTTCATGGTTCAACAGTGGGAACTGAAAAAGCAAAGGTACACTTGTGGATAGGAGATGACTAATCTTCAGGTCCAGGTTGACTGTTGGATAACCAGTCATTTTCCTTGTGGAAAAGCGGCTTTTTGTGGTCACAGATCCAGTTCACTAACAATCCTTCTGAGACACTTCCCCCCTCCATTAGAAGTTACCATTACATGTGCAGTAGAGCTTGTTGCATAAAAGTAGGTCTCTCCCAGCTTCCTGTGACTCTCTACTTTTGATCATAACTGTTATCCAAAAATTCCCACTGGAGACCATCCAGGATTACACTAGTATGGATTTACTGATTGAGGAATTAACATTCCACTATATGCACTAGATGGTTAAACTAAAGAGGACAGAGCTGCCACTAGAGGTTTAAACTAAGGGGGAACCAGCTCCCCCTTCCCCTTCAAATATCCCCCGCGGCATTTGCATTTTCATGGCCGCTGCTTTTTTCCGGCTTGGATACAACTGACTATGTCTTGTTGCCTTGGAAAGTAAGATTCACTACTGATGGGTTTACATAGAAACAAGGAGTCCAATCAGTGGTTTGTCCAACAATTGACAATTGCTTGTTTTCACCAAAGTCTCTGTGGGACCTATCATAGAATGCATACTGCTCAACACATGAGACCTTTGGAGGGATCAAATCTGAACAGACAGCATCACATCAGTATGCTGGTATTTAGGGATGTTAAGGACTAGCCAACTAGTTGATTCCCCCACCCTTGCTGCCTCTATCAGACAGAGGCAGCAAAGTGTGTGTGTGTGGGGGGGGGGTACTTCAAAGCAACAGCTCAGCACAGCTGAGCCTGGGACCAGCTGTGTGGTACTGCTCCCAGCTGTCCCCGGGTTCTGGGGAAATGCCGCATAGAACCTGCGGTCATCTGGAGAGTCCCCAGCTGAATCCGGGTTCCACTGAAATGCCGCATGGAGCCTGGGATCAGCTTGGGAGTCCCCAGCTGACCCCGGCTCCGCGTGGTATTTCAAATCAGCAGCACAGCATGGAGCCCAGGATCAGTGGGGGACTCTTATCAAGTCCCCTTCTGAGTCCGGGCTCCATGCTGAGCTGCCATTTGGAAATGCACAAGAGACTGCTGGGGACTCTTGTACATTTCAAAGCTGGCATGCCCCGTGCAGCCCGGAGTCAATGGTAGCAGGGACTCTTGTACGGAGCAGGAGCTCTTGTATATTTCAAAGGAGGAATGCGGAAGTGCCTATCGACTACGTGACTAGTCAATTAACCATTACTTAATATCCTTACTGGAATGACAAACTGTATATTCTATGGACACTGCAACTTCGGATCCTAAAAGAACATGTAGACAATATCACCAGGCAGAACATCAGAGCTTCCTTGTTCACATCATGGGAAAAGAAATGTTGCAGACTCTGGATAAATTCTCTCCTCCATACAAGCTCTTAGACTAGGAAGTGCTTCACTAAGTGTCAGCATTCAGAAACATCAAAACCAAAAAGAAAACCTATCAATCACACAAGGATAATGTATGCCTCCCCTATGTTATGCAATAGAAGGATTACAGGGTTTGTCAGGAATGTCTTCTAAGGCGTGTGGGGACCTTAGACAAGAAAAATATCTTGTGAAGTATGTGTCTTCAGAGACCTGGCAGGGCATGCACTTTTTAGGTTCATTAAGTGATATCTGTTTTGAGAGAAGCACACGTTGGTGTATGCTGGGAGGCACAGGTCTCATGAGATGCACACCCTGGGAAACAAACCCTTTGAGGCCGAATGGGAAATACACAGATTCATGAAATGATTAGCTCACAGATGGACCACTGAGCTTATGAGCAGATTAAGACTCTGAAGCAGTTAATAACTAATGAGCCTTATGTCTTCATTTATTTGTGTATCATTCCCAATTCCAGACATTCTAGCCTCTACATCATCAAGTGTGTACAGTGTTCAGGTCACTAAATCTCCTCTGCCCCCATGAAGGGTTGATAATGCATTAACATTCCATGATGCCAACCCAGGCTTTGATGCTGCACAGTGAAGAAGCATTACACAGTGTCATTTCAATTTATCAAACTTAGGTTTCTCATCAATGCTTGTTTGCTAATAAGCTATCAAATGGCTGATGCCTGATACATTCTAAAGGACTGGGTTTCTAATTCTGCTTTCAGATAGGTTCACCAATACAATCAATAGGATGCCAGAGGGTGCAAGAAGCTGCAGTGCTGAAGTTTCCTCAGTTCCATTCTTCAGCTCTGAGATAATGTAACCCTCAATGTTGCTGTTCCTGTTGCTTTTTGTTGATGAAGACACAGTTGTGCAGTACCAGGGTGTCACTGCTTGGCCATGATATCACAAGAAGGTCCCACCAACCAATAAGACCATTGGTGTGTGGGTTTGGACAGTTAGTGCCCCAAAACACACACACACACACGTATATAGCAATAGTAATGAAAACTTCAGAGAAGGAAATAATCTCGTATCAAATACATACAAAATAGGATACTATGTTACACTCTATTCACCTGGTAAGTTGGAAAGTAAGTTAGCCATCTTTCTATATGGGTGGCATACCATCCAGGTACTAGACATCTCTTCTGAAGAGCTCTAAGCTCTGAAGGGGCTCGAGGTCCAGCAGTGATCACCTGATAGAAGCTAAATTTTAGAGCTGCAGGGTCTTCATGAGATCGCTGATGCTGTAAAAGAAAGGTAAGTTACAAGAGCATCATGGACACCATGGAGTCCAGAGTCACAGAAATGGGACAGAATATATGTGGACAATAGTCTAAAGGACCTGTTTGTGACTGATGAAATTACTTTAGAAGTGAAATTCAGATAAGTAGTTTTGGTCTATATTAGATAAGATGAGAAGATAATAATATCACTATTTATAAAAAATGGTGACCTTCTACTTATGCAGCCAAATCTTGAAATCCTTATACAGCTTATATACAGCTCTTACTCCAGCAAACCTCTCATTGAAAGCAACAGTGAATTCAGATGATTATCAGATAGATAACTTCTATTGAAACAAAAATATCCGTGTGTGTTCATATGTATGTATATAAAAATCCTGAGGCCCTAAGTTTTTATTTGTTCTTCATTTTGTTCTTCTACAAATTCTTATTGTAGTCAGAAGACCAGAAGGGCTTTTTGAAATAAGAGCCAACAATTAAGAATAGGATGGATACATGCTAGTCCTCTTTGGAGAGATCCCACTGTTTCAAATACCCCATGTACATAACTAGTTGGAAGTAGACATTATAGAAATACTTATAAAATTAGACAGATAAAATAATCACATCTTCTATTTTCTGGATATAGAGCCATGCTTTTATGGACTGTGTTATCAGGCATTTATTATTGTTTTGTCTACTCACTGTGAATTATATTTAAGATATTCAAAGTTCCCCTTTAAAATTAGCCTGGCTTGTTTGTGACAATACCAAAGAAAGAATGGTAGCAAAAGTGGTACTTTTGTAGTATTGAGTGAACTCTGAGATAAAACACAGTACTAATTTTTATTGCATGTAATTTTAAAAATACTTGATATTGACATTGGATTTAAGTTGCAAGTTTTATTTTAAAAAGCTAATTATTTTTCCAGAGGATGATGAAATGTTTTTGAGTCTACTTGTATTTCACTTAATGTATAAGTCTGAGATATACAACTGTTATACATTCAAGCCTGATGAATATATGAATTTGGTTATAATGTAGGCCCGTATGTTCCTTTTTTATGGTCAGTTTAACAAATATTTAAAAATTTAACTTTACTCAAAATTCAGGTCTTATTCTGTGTCTGCAAAAAACTGAGATCATGAGTAATTGCATGTACCCCACATTTGGAAGCACAATTTGGGTAATGCGTTCATATGCATTCTATTAAAACGCACAATTAGTTGTGTAAATGTGCATTCTTTATATGCAATTATTCTCAAAAGCACTTTTTCTGCATGCATATATTATGGCCAGAATTCTGAAAAATATGGCCTTGAGTGTTTATATATATTTTAAAAGAGTGGACTATCAAGTTTATCAAACTTTTTCTGTACTCAGAGACAACTGTTGGATGATGTTCTGGTTTTCAAATAAAGGCTTACCTAATCAAACCCCTTTGCTTTTCAGTATTTGATCACAATATATTGAGAGGATTCGAGGTAAAAACTGTTTGGTACATATTCAGTTAGAACCTGCATGTATTCTGCAAAGACCCTACCTGATACCAGGAATATGCCCGATCTGATGGGTCGATCAGAATGGTGATGATCTTGGCCTTAGGAATCAGGGAAGCTGCTCGTTTGGGAGCTTCCTCAGAATGGAAGTAGTTGGCACTTTTCTCAAACAGAAAGTCAGTGGTGACATTGGATGGTACAGGGAAGAAATCCATATACCTAAAAAAGGAACACTGTCCTCAGCATTACCCAAAAATCCTGTTTACATTAAAAGCAAAGAGGGTGGATGCATATGTAAAATATCTTTGGGTACATCTAAATTACATCCCTCTTTCAAAAGAGGGATGTAAATTAGACATTTCAAAATTGCAAATGAAGCTGGCATTTGAATTTCCCATGCTTCATTTGAATAATTGTGTCATGGCGTTTTTTTCAAAAAATGCTGTTTCGAAAATGAAACCACGGTCTAGACACGGTTCTTTCGAAAAGAAAAGCGTTTTCAAAAGATCCTATACTCCTCAAAAAATGAGGTTTACAGGATCTTTCGAAAAAGGCTTTTCTTCTAGAAAAAACTGCATCTAGACTGCGGTTTCACTTTTGAAATAGCCTTTTTAAACCTCCCCTCCCCCCCGCCGTGATGCGATTATGCAAATGAAGAATGGGAAATTCAAATCCCGGCTTCATTTGCAATTTCAATATGTCTAATTTACATCCCTCTTTCGAAAGAGGGATGTACTCTAGACATAGCATTAGAGAATAATTCATAGAAACACAGGCACAGTCATTGTCAATTAAAAACTTTTTTTAAAAGGTCTTGTTTTTTGAAGTGAGAAGAAAATGTTACAAGCATAATAAATAATTTGTCCTTTTAAAATTAGTGGGCCAATTCCTGCCCTCAATCATTTTGTTACTCATTCAAAACTCCCATTAAAGTCAGTAGTAAAGATTGAGTAAAAATAAAGACTTTTCGATTTGGCCAACCGCTTTTTTTTTAATATAAAAAATGTTCTTTATTATTCCTGTTACAGCACAGGATGGTGTTTGGTGTTTCAATTATACCACAGCAGAATAATGTTAGAAAATAATATTCAGAATCAGGATTCTTGCTATCAAATCTGACAAAAGTTTGTTAACATGTAGATGTTACTTAAAAAACTATCAAGAAAACCTAACTACCTTTTCAGGCAAGAGGCCTCTATCTAGTAGCACCAATAAATCACTATTCTACACATCACAGTTTTGTGGAAAACAAAGCAGTCTGTTTCTCACTTTGTTTAGTTCTGATAAGACTTGTTTAGCAACAACCTACATACCAGTTTACATTATTTTTTATGGAAAAAAAGGAATTGATAAATGTGGGTCTTTGCATTTTTCTTTTTGCCTCCTGTTTTTAACAAAATAATATAAAATATAATATATAGTAATCTCTTTCAAATGGACTGACAGTAATGGCTGCACAGAAAATTCTCAACTACACAGATCTTGTAGTGGACCTCTGCCAGGGGAATGAATTCCAATTAATATAAAAGATTGTTTCATAAAAATAGGTTGGTGGATAGTTAATACATTTTATCAGTTTGCCGTCTGCTATTTTCTCTCCATAAGACTGACTGCTCACACTCAGTAATAAATGCTGATCCACTGACCTTTGTAATAAGAATCTGCTGCAATAATTATAACTCTATAAAAACCATATATCTTAAATGAGATTGTATGTGAATTTTCTCCACTTGGAATATATAACAGCCTTTACACTATTAATTTTATGGACGAATACAGTTTAAGGTAATAACTGTTTCCCCTCATATCAAGGAGTAAAGGAAGAAGACTAAATATTAAGAATCTTGTATTGGTGCTCCTTGCTTAATGCGCTGTGTTACTATTTTACACCTTCGAACATTTTTCCTTGTAGCATTTTTTGAAAGCAAGACTGACCGAATGTATCTTTGTAGAGATCTTTGATAACTTCTTGGGTGAACTATGGGGAATAAGATAGTGATGATGAGCTTTTTCTCTTCACTTATCCCCATTTACTACTGACTGCTGAACATTTTCCTCATTGTCCTAGAAATGCTTTTTAAAAGTATTTTCTCCTTCCCACCTGACTGGCACATTTCTTTTTTCCATTTAAAACTAAGAACAAACTACTTGTGGCTGAAATTTCCATTAGATTTTCCTTTCAGTATTTTAGAAATAAGATATTCAACCTGAAATGTCAATCATTCTATCTTATACTCAACTTACAATATTACTTTTATTGTCATAGTGTCAAAACCATGTGTAAATAGGAAACAAAGTACCCGCCAGGGAAATATGTGAGAATCTCACCCCTAAAGAGATGCATAATTAAGACACATGCAACGCTTTCCCTTTTCTGTTTTTCACACATTCTAAGTATATTAACATCTTGAGACATACATGTAATTCTCATTAAGATTAATTATTATTGCCTCAAGTTGAGAATAGACATCTTCTTATATGCTACATTAGAAGGAAGATAAATACTTAGGGCATTTACCATTATTTTGACTAAGGTTATCATAATTTATTTATGTGTACTTATATATCAGATAAGAAGGCTAGTAGTGGTCATTTTAAAACTGTGTAGACACACATTACCAAACGTAATGCCATTTTTGTATTGTGCACAGTACATAAACTTTTATATTTATACTAATAACCCATCTTACCAATCAATCCCCCTGTGGTAGTTATTTCTATTAAAGAACTGTACCTCCTCAAAGGTTTTTGGGCTGGGGGAGTTACTAATGATGGAAGGATGCATAATCAGGAACAAATACAAAGCTGTGGTACCTAAAAATAGGATGAAAGTACAAAGATTAACAAAGCATATATATATTCTATGGGCCAGCTTCTCACCTGGTGGAAACCAGCACAATTCCATTGAGTTTAATGATTCCATGCTGATCTACACCAGCTGAAATCCTGGTCCTATAATTCTGAACCAAAAACACTTAAAATAAATTTGTAGAGCTAATACTGAATACAGAAGCATGACTGTTGATAACACATCTATTCATGTTTTTAAAATTTGATTTAAAAAACAAATGATGGCATCTGTGCTGAGGCTGTCACAAAAGAGGTTGACCTAAACTCCAGCCCTCTTGTTAGATATATTAACAGTACACGGTTGGTGATACAGGAAAGGGAATGGATAAAAAGTGTGGCATTTTCTGATCACAATGAGAAGTGACTATGAATTGAAAGAATAAAGTCCTGCAGCCTTACAATCTCTATCTGTCCTGTAGGAATTTCTTGACTTGCAGTGTAAATTCCACTGAATAACACTGATATGCTGTAAAAAAGGCACTCTTTTCCTGTAGGACATGTTGAAGCTTAGGGGCCATAGAACTGTGTACATGTTTTGAAAAATTACTGTCTTTACCTCCTTCAACTATAATAAAATCCTGTCAATCACTCTGTCACCACTCTGCTTATCAGAGTGTTAATCACATCACTTTTTAGTTAAATCGTATGCAATAATCTAACACTCTCCACTACAGCTACACTATCAAACTTTGTAAAATCTGTTGTACTAAACTTGGATAATGTCAGAGAATAAAAAGTGTCATCAGATAATCAAGGTATATACAAAGCTCTGAGTGACTAAAAGTAATTATGTACTGTAATACTTTGAATTTATTTATCATTAGGCTCATTAAAATGCTGTAAACTCTCACCAGTTTTCTGGGGTCCTATAACCAGGAATTTTGGTAATCGATCACAGGTTTTTTCTTTAGACCAGATATCTCTGTGCCTCTTGTCATCACAGGGGTTCTAAATGGGACAAAAGTAGTATCTGAGAATTTTATATGTAATTATATTTGTTCAGTTTTTGCCCTACTTACATAAATTTCCAGTAACTATCGGGCTACAAGAAATCATAGTAGGAAACGTTATCTGCCCATTTATTATAGGTACCTATAAACTATGTGACAAATTCTGATCTCACTTACGATGGTGTAACTGGATATACTCCCGATTCACAATGTAACAGACCAGCACTGAGTTCTCTGAATTCATCTATGTGTATAGGAATTCTTAGCAACTGTATTAAAAAAATGTTGTTTTCACCGTGATCATCTTCTATGTATACATCCACTCAATCTTCAGAACAGGCTTTGGTTGACATTTGTTTAACAGACAAATCCATTCCTGTTGCTTACATTCAGTGGAATTATTCCCAGGGTAAATCTGGCCTATTGTAGTTTAGATGTAAGAACCATTCAAAATGAGCAATTTGATCATTTGTATAAAAATGGAATTGTACTTAGATCACTAATGAGGTTCTCTATTTGCCAATCCATTTTTTTTACTTTTTACATAGCAGCTAAGGCTATAAGATATAGTTTTTAAAATGTGTGAACTGATTAAAACTTTAAGACTTTATTTTGATCCTCTGCATTCACATGTATGTATTGTTACTTTGTGCATCTCCAACTACCATGAAGAGTGCATGCTCAGTCTACCACACTCCTCAGAGTAAAAAATATGCAGGTGTGAAATAACATGCAAAAGGACTTTCATGCTAGGGTTCATTTTGCTACCAGTTTCATATATGGGCACAAGCTGACACAAGTGCAGTCATTAAATAAAGGAGATCTAGTTCTGCTGCTTCTGTTAAAAAGGGGAAATGAGACTTTTAGAATTTTTTTAAAGAATCTTCTGAATTATGCCAGCAGACCTAACAAATATGCTGATAATATAATTTGTTGTAAAATGAATAAGAACAATGTATATACTGGCAGCTACAATTTAATTAAAATGTTTTCAAGCAGAGGTGAGGAAGTTAGTTATATTCATATGAATTGTATAAAAACTGCAACACTGTCAGTACTTTTTAGTCCAAATTATTTGCATTTTTTTCAACAAATAATTCTTAATCTGTAGGTCATTCAAGTACAGTACATTGCCAATTTTTAAAATTCATGCTCAAGTTGTTACATGGCATGATTTTTCTTTTCTGATTAGATGTTTTATGTAACTAAATAACAACAATATACATATATATATAAATTTGATTACAATAAGAGCAATGTAAATTTCAAGCTGTGTATTCAAGTATTAAAATTTAATTTTGACACTCACAGTTACTGATTAGGCATGTAATTCAAAATCCACTGTTGGAAAACACTTGAGTGTTCAAATTTAAATTGTGGTTTTTGAAGATATTTGCTTTAGTAAAACTTGTCCTTGGGAATATTTGTGCCAAGCCAACCAAAAAGGGGGTATGATCACACTTTAAGTGAATTCAATTGTCAGAATGAATATTCAGATGGAATTTTGTGCAATAGTTGGGTAGCTTTAGTTCTAATGTGTAGTATTAGTTAAACATTAAAGAAAAATATTACATTTGGAATAATTGAACTGTCATTGATTTTGTGCACAAGCCATGTTGCAACATTCACTAGTTCCATCACTTATTTCTCTGTATATTCAGTGATCATAGTGTAATGAACAGGTGATTCACTGAGTATGTGTCACTTCCAGGTTCAGTGAAGACTATGGATTAAGTTGATATTCACATACAGGCGGATCCGCACTTACGAACGGGGCTTTCTCGCCCCGGAGGTCGAGGTGGCGGATTGCTACCTGCGAGCTCCGGGGCGAGA